AGATTGTCCATGCATCTCATCCTTGTGGATCCCACAGGGCAGGCTGCAGCACAGGAGTGGGGCCAGCCATGGGGCAGGTGTGGGGCACCATGGGGCAGGGATGGGGCAGAGCAGGCTGGGGCAGCCTGTGTACCAGTCAGGCTGTGAAGCAGGAGCTTTGCCCTTGTCCAGCACTCCCAGCCCGCTGTAGCTCCAGCAGCCTCTACCAGGAGGGAAACTGAGGCACAGATGTGCCCATGCCTGGGGCTGGCCCACCACACTGCCACCCTGCAGCTCCAGGGGCACACTGCAATGTGGAGGAAGATGAGGTGTGCCTGTTTCAGCACAGCCACTCTCCCTCTGCTCACCCAGTGCCCCCATCTCTCGCTCCCAGATCGACCAGGATGGGCTGACTTTGCCTGAAAGGACACTCTACCTGGGACAGGATGAGGAGAGCGAGAAGGTGATGGGGATACACCAGTGCCATGGGGACACCGTGGGAGGGACCAGCACCCTGCATGGGGCAGCAGACAGGGTGCACCTCACTGCCAGCAGTGCCGGGGACTGGGTGCTGCAGGGCTGTGCAGGGTGGCACTCAGTGTCCCTTCCCTTGGCACAGATCCTGGCTGCATACCGTGTGTTCATGGAACGACTGCTCACCCTCCTGGGGGCTGAGCATGTGGAACAGAAAGCCCAGGAGATACTGCATCTGGAGCAGCACCTCGCCAACGTGAGGGGAAAACCTGCCCTGGGCTTTGGGGTGCCCATGCCCAGCCCCTGGACACTCCAGATCTTTGGGGACCTCCACTCCCAGGCCTTGGGGACCTTCATGCCTGGCCTTTAGGGATCCCAACCCCTTGAGGACCCCATAACAGAGCCTCAGGGACCCAACCTCACATCTTGAGAACCCGCTGACCCAGCCCTTGGGACAACTGCTCCATCCCCATTTCCACTCCGTGTGAACCCACTTCAGGACCTTGAGGACTCCATACCCAGGTCTTGGGGACCCCAGTCTGGACCTTGGGGGACCCTGTGCCCATTCCTTGGGTATAGCAATTCTTTGGGGATGCTATCACCAGCCCTCAGGGCCCCACTGGCAGCAGAGGGGTAGGGACAGGGAGTGGGAAGGATGTGGTTCAATAGCCTCTCTTGCCCTGGAACTGTGCCCCATCCCAGTGCCCTCTCCCTGTGTCATGCTCAAGGTGGGCAGTAGGATGGTGACATCTGTTCCCACCCTGTGCAGATCACAGTGTCCGAGTACGATGACATGCGGAGGGACGTTAGCAGCATGTACCACAAAGTGACCCTGGGCGAGCTGCAGCGCATCACCCCCACGGTGAGTGCCCCCAGTGCCCAGCCTCTCACACCTGTCCCCCTGTTCCATGCCCTCCCTGCCTGCACCCCCCTCACACCCTCCCCCACCACTGAGGAGTGGGGGAGTCCATTTGAAGGTGATGAATCCACCCTGCACTTTCCTGGGTGGGCAGGGGTGGTGGGAGGCTGAAAAGCCTGGGAGGAGTCCCTGTGCCCCCTGACAGTGCCCACCCTGGCAGCTCAAGTGGAAGCGCTTGCTGGACCACATCTTCCATGACAACTTCTCGGAGGAGGAGGAGGTGGTGCTGCTGGCCACTGACTACATGCACAAGGTGTCTGAGCTCATCCGTGTGACACCCAGCAGGTGAGGGGGCTGGCACCCCCTGTGCCCCTGGCACCTTCCCCAGCCTGGCATGGGGCACAGGATGGATGTGTCTTGTCCCCTCCCCTCTCCATCACCCCATGCTGGGGAGGCCAGGCTGGGCATAGGAATCCCGGGAAAGCTCCTGGGAGAAGGCACTATTGTGAGCCCCACAGCATCCTGGTTGTGCCTGGACACCTGCTGAGCCATCCATGCTAGAGGTCACGAGACTCATCACACAGCAGGAACAGACATGGTGCCAGCCTGCCCCTGTGTCCACAGGCTATGGCCTCCCTGTGTCCCTGAGCAGGGTGTCCCCACCCTGGTGTGTGCTCCCACCCTCTCCATGTGCCTGTGGACATGTCCATTGGGGCCTGATCTTGTCCCCTGTCACCAGGATCCTTCACAACTACATGCTGTGGCGTATTGTGGTGGTGCTGAGTGAGCACCTCTCCACCCCCTTCCGTGATGCCATCCACGAGCTCTCCAAAGAGATGGAGGGCAATGAGAAGCAGCTCGAGCTGGGTAAGATCTGCCTCAGCCAGGCCAACAAGCACTTTGGCATGGCCCTTGGCGCCCTCTTCGTTGAGGAGCACTTCTCCTCTGCCAGCAAAGCCAAGGTAGGTTATGGGCATGAAGCCACCACGACCCTCATGTCACTTTGTCCAAGTCCTATTACCTGTCTGGCTGGTGATGGATGGTGAGGATGCTGTGCCAGTGTCCGCGGTGACCCACCATAGGTGCAGCAGCTGGTGGAGGACATAAAATACATCCTGGACCAGCGCCTGGATGAGCTGGACTGGATGGACGAGGAGACACGGAGAGCAGCCAGGGCCAAGGTAGTGCCTCCTAGCATGCACCCCTGTCCTTGTCCCCATCACCAGCCCAGGGGCACATGGGATGGGGCCTGAACCCACCACTCATTTTGCCTGCAGCTCCGGTACATGATGGTTATGATTGGGTACCCTGATTTCCTGCTGCAGCCAGAGGCCATCGACAAGGAGTATGAGGCAAGGAATAGCTCAGGAACACATGAGGGCATGGGCACATGGAGGGGGGAGATGGTCCCCACATCTGCATCAGGGTCTGTGGAGATCCACCCCAAAACAAGCCACCTCTTGGTGCTCAGGGTGCCCACCTCTGGCAGGGGTAGTGCCATACTATCCATCATGTCTGCGGTGGTGTCTCCTTCCCCATGTCACATCCTCCAGAGCTCAGCCCCATCCTCAGCAAGGGCTGATGGTGCCAGCATGGCCCAAGGACTCCACAGACTGATGGAGAAGCAACTGCCCCTGTGGGCACACAGCATGAGACATGAGGACACACTCGTGCCACATCCAACTCAGTGCCACAAACCCACACCCTCTGTCACCAAGGCCCACAGTGGTGGGAGGATACCCCAGCCCTGCTCCCCACACTCTTGGGGCTGGCATCCCCCCTGATGTTGCTGTGCCCCTCCAGTTTGATGTGGACGAGAAGACCTACTTCAAGAATATCCTCAACAGCATTGCCTTTGGCATCCGGCTCTCGGTGAAGAAGATCCGGCAGGAGGTGGACAAGTCCGCGTGGGTATCCCCCTGCCCTGGGCAGGGACATGGGGGGCACATTGCCCACCAATGCCCCCTATCCCCACACCCAATTGCACCCCACAGGGAGTAGGCTGAAGGGCATGGGGCAAGCCAGCAATTCCTCCCCTGTGCCCCAGCTGTGCAAGGGGATGGCATTTCCATGCCTGCCAGTGTCCCTGCAGCCTGGCACCACTGTCTCTCCTTGCAGGTGGCTGCTGCCTCCCCAGGCACTGAACGCCTACTACCTGCCCAACAAGAACCAGATGGGTGAGCACTGCCCATCCCCTGATCAGCTCCCTGGAGTGGAGGGAGTAGGGAGGATCTGGAGTGGGGACACAGCCCAGGGTCCTCTGGTGTTGGGTGATGCTGTGGGTGGGTACAGGGCAGGGTAATCCCCAACTGCAATGTTCTCCTGTGTCTCCAGTGTTCCCTGCTGGCATCCTGCAGCCCACCCTCTACGACCCCGAGTTCCCGCAGTGAGTGTGGGGCTGAGGGATGGCCAGGGGGTGCCAAGGCAGGGGAGAGGGGTGCCAGGTCCTGTGGTCACCACCATCCCTGCCAGCACCACACCCTCCACCCTCTCACCTCTGCTCTCCACCCAACAGGTCACTGAACTATGGTGGGATTGGCACCATCATCGGACATGAGCTGACCCATGGCTATGATGACTGGGGTGAGTCCCATAGCATGCCAGGATGGGAGGTGAGTGGGCTGGGGGCAGCTGGGCAGGACACCTGTGTCTCTTGGGACTACTGGAGGTGGTGGCTGCCTTGGCAGGGGGACAGTACGACCGGCATGGGAACCTGGTACACTGGTGGACGGAGAGGTCTTACAGCAAGTTCCTGAAGAAGGCACAGTGTATCGTCAACCTCTACGACAACTTTACCGTCTACAACCAGAGGGTGAGATCTCACTCACCTGCCAGGCAATGACTATGCCCTGCCCAGCCCTGAGACCTAACAACTCATCACACTTCAGCTGGGAAATTCCTCAGGGCACTGGGTGGGGGCAACTGAGGCACAGCCTCAGTGCCAGGGTGGGAATAGGGGGATGACTGGCTGGGGGGACATCTCTGTTCACCCCATTGTTTCTCTTCTCTTGGCAGGTGAATGGCAAACACACGCTGGGGGAGAACATTGCTGACATGGGAGGCCTCAAACTCGCCTACTACGTAAATGTCCCTCCACCCTGGGGTGTCACAACCATGGGGCAGCTGCTTATGCCATCCCCATTGAGTGGGCAGGAGACCCCTCCAGCCCCTTCTTGCTCCCCGCAGCCTGGAGTGAGCATGATCCTGCTTGCTGGTTGCTGGGGGGCTTGGGGTTGGGTTCAGGGCGGGTTTGGGGGAGTGCCCAGGCCATGCTGAGGGCACCCCTTGTTCTCCAGGCCTACCAGAAGTGGGTGCGGGAGCACGGCCCCGAGCACCCCCTGCACCACATGAAATACACACATGACCAGCTCTTCTTCATCGCCTTTGCCCAGGTGAGCCCCTGTCCTCCCCACACATAACAGGTACCAGGGCAGGAGGGTCACCTTGTGTGGGGCTGGTGACCCAAAGGGATGGGGAAAGAGCTCTGGGGGACCCAGTGCCCATGGCCACGATCCAGGCTCAGCTGCATCAGCAGGTCCTGGTCTCAGGGTACAGGACTCAGCCCTGCACGGAGCATCCCCACATTGCCCCACTGCTTCTGGGGACCCTACAATAGCAAAGGTGTGTCACCCCATCACCTCCAGAGGCCCCATAGCAACAAACGCACATGACCCCAGACTTCTAGGAGAACCTACAGCCAGGCAGGTCATAACCCAGGAGACCCTACAATAACGAACACAGCAAGGGCATTGCTGCCCTCAACCCCCAGGATCCAGAAGGGTTGTTGTGCCCCAGTGTGTGCCAGGACCCAAGGTGCCCCATCTGGCTCACCCATGGAACCTTTTCCCCTGCAGAACTGGTGCATCAAGCGGCGATCCCAGTCCATCTACCTGCAGGTCCTGACAGACAAACACGCTCCAGAGCACTACAGGTACCATCTGCTTCTGGAATGGGGGGCAGCACACTGGGTGCCAGCGTTCCCCATGACAGTGCCATGCAAAGCAGGGTGGGAAATCTCTGGAGTGCTGGTGCCAGCAGATTTTGGGTGGACATCCCTGGGGCAGGGGATGGAGTGCTGCTGGGGTGAGCAGGTGCCTTGAATGGGGAGCATGGCAGCAGAGAGTGCCCAGCTCTGAGACATGCTCCTCTCCTGGCAGGGTCCTGGGCAGCGTCTCGCAGTTTGAGGAGTTTGGACGGGTTTTCCACTGCCCCAAGAACTCGCCCATGAACCCAGTGCACAAGTGCTCGGTGTGGTGAGGCCGATCCCCCCCCAGAAGGCTGGCACCCCCATCCCCATCCCTGCCTGAGTGCCATCCTGTGACCATTCCTCACATTCCCATCTCCCCCTCCTACTCTCCAGGCAAAGGGGCAACCCCAGGTGTCACAGGGGGTTGCCCCAAAGATAAGCAGCTGCCATAGGGGTAGCAGGAAGACACTTGGGTTAGGCAGCTGCCTCCTGCCCATCCCCTTCCTACCCACTGCCCTGTACATTGGGGGGCCCTCAGTCCCCATGGAGAAATAAGGGCACACCCAGGCACCCCTGTACCTTATCTTCTGTCCGCCCACCTCAAGCCCTTCACCCAACCCTACCACATCCAGCCCAGTGTCAAGGCAAGGAGAGCAATCCAGAGTCACTATGGGGCTGCCCCATGCCAGAAGCCTCCTCTGACCAGTGCCCACCCTGGTACCCTCCCTGGTATCCCCCACGCCAGCCTCATCATGTCCCTGCACCAGCCCTGCCAGTGTTGGGGCACAGTGGCAGAGCTGGGGGCCAGGTGATGTCAGCCAGCCTGGGAGCATGGGGGGATGTGAACACCTGCTGTATTTTTCACTGCTGTTTCTGGTCAATAAAGCACTGGATATGCTGGGAGGTTGCAAGGAACCATGACCCAGGGATGGGAGCAATGGGCAGCACCCCCAGCTCTGCCCACATGTCACGGACACCCCACTTTACTAACATCCCTGTCCCATCAGTGTCACACCCCATGTTTATTTAACACCATATTTAACACCCCTGTGTGAGTGGTGTAGGACCCCAAATCCCAGTGCTTGGGATTTGGTGCCCTCGTGGCTGTTGCATTCGGACCAGGGATGCTGGCAGCACTTGTGGAGTGCCCTAGAGACATAGGATTAGTGGAAGAGGGGCAGGAGGAGGGTGGGCAGGAGCAGGGCCAGGAGGCTGGCATGGGTGCCAGGGGCAGAGCTGCCCAGGCGGCAGTCAGTGTAGGGCTCGAGGCAGGCGGCATAGGCCATGACATGGGCCACGTAGGTCTGTTCCTGCACCCCGTGGAACAGGTGGGCCATGGGGCCCTTAGCCAGGATGGCCACATCCTCACCACCATGGGTCTCTGAGCTGAGGGGCACGGCCGCCTGCTGAAGGTAGTCGAAATGCCCTGGGGAGTGGAGAGAAGGGGGTGAGTGGGGCAGCAATAGCCCCCAGCCCCATCCCACCACCTGGCCATGGTCTCTGTGCCCTCACCAGCTGTGGTGCTGTCCACGTCAGGCCGGCCAGGGCCCACGTAGCCTGGTCCATTCCCATAGAGGATGGACGTGTAGTTCTTCTCGTCACTGGCTTTCTTGGGGGCCAGACCTGGGGAAGGAGCGATGGAGAGGGATGATCAGCCAAGGGACACCCTTATCACCCCTCTGGCCACGGTCAGGGTGCCGCAGAGCTGGCAGTGCCCAGCACGGGGCAGAGCCCCACCGAAGATGGAAGAGCCGCGCAGGGTGTAGCCACCAAAGGAGAAGACATGCGAGTGGTCAGCAGTGACGACGGTGAGGGTCTTGGCCTCGTCTGTCAGGCTGCCTGCCCTCTCAATGGCCTTGTCGAACTCCACTGCCTCCGTCAGTGCCTTATGGGCTGCACCATCGTGGTGGCCGTGGTCGATTCTGCCACCTGCAGACAGGCACCCGCGGTGGGCTGGGGACCGATGGCAGCACCCCCAGCTCCTGCCCCCGCCCTGGCACATAGGATCCCCCCTCTCGCCGGCCCCAGGGGCACCAGCCCCAACTTATCTTCCACAAAGAGGTAGAAGCCTTTGGGGTTCCTGCTCAGGATGGTGATGGCTGCTTCCATCATCTCAGTGAGCGATGGGTCCAGGGTGGTGTTACGCCTCAGGCTGTACTTCATGTCCCCAGGTTCAAAGAGACCTGCGAAGGGACACAATGGGCACAGCCTCAGTGCCTGCATGTGTCCCAGTGCCTGTGAGGTCCCAGCGCACAGGACATTTGTTACCCATCAAATAATTCACGCTGGGGTCAGCAGCAGCAGCCAGCATCTCTGTCTTGTTCCAGACGTAGCGGGCACCCTGCAGGCAAATCCCACAGGGGGTTAGTGAGTGCCCAGCCCCATGCCAGGGCCAGTGGGCAGAGTCTCTACTGTGTCACACACCGGTCTTGCTTCCAGCCACATATCGATGAGGTTTTTCCCATCCTTACGTGTCCCAGTCTCATTGCTGTTAGTGGGATACTCAGGGTCTGGCGTTCCCACAGGGGTCATGTATTTCCGACCACCCCCCAGGATCACCTGGAGGGGATGAGACGGGTGCAGTGTTAGTGGGGGTGCCCTGGGAGGGGTCTGCCCCGGCTCCCCCCCTCCCATGCACGGGTGCTCACATTGTTGTGGACCAGCTGCCAGGCGATGTCCTTGCAGCCCTGCTGTATGGCGTCCCTGGGCATGCTGGCATCCCCGTACCACTCGCGGTTCACCACGTGGGCGTACGTCCCCGAGGGCGACGCGTGCTGCACCCGTGTTGACGTCACGATGCCCACTGACTTCCCTGACAAGCCCCCACCCATCAGGTCCCACAACTATAAAGCTATGGGATGCTCATGGGGGGAAGCCACCAGCATGACACCCCTTGTCCCCACGGGGTCCCCTCAGCCCTGCACCCCCGTTACCAGCTTTGCGGGCTCGCTCCAGCACTGAGATCACCTCGTTGCCTTTCGTGGTGCTGCACTGCGAGTGGCGAGCGGCCG